GAGTGGGGCCCTTGGGCCGCTTAAGAGACACTCCTACCAGGTTGATTAATGGTTAGAGGTCAGACGAACTCAATCTCCTGGACTCTACATTCTAGGTGTGACATAAGTTAACCTGAAAATTCCGAATGGCCTGTATAGCATGGACATTTTGAGACTCGTGCAGCAAACTTTCATTGAATATGGAGTCTGATGTTAAGAGGGTAACCAGATCAACAGATTGGGATGCCAGTGATATCTCTCCCCTGCCAGGCAGAAAAGGTGTCAGGAGCATCAGACAGTCCACTTAGCGTGGCTCATGGGACTCTGCCACCAGCTGTACGGACTCGCAACTTTTCCACAAACCAGCGGAGTTGCACGTTATGTACCAGAAGTCATTCGCGTATCTGCGAAAAAGGTACACCCAGTTGGTTAGTCTGCTGGTGTACATACGGAGGGACTAGTACCGAGCCAAGTACTACCTGCCGCGAAATACTACTCAGCACAGACTGTGGGGAGAAAAGGTTGGATAAGACTCAACCCACATGTTCTCTCCTCTAAAAATGTTATGTATCCAAGCGCTGGTCCAAATACACCATCAGAATGCGGTTTGCACTAGAGACGAGTGTGTGGGACTGTGTCGAAGGTATCACAACGACCAGCGAGACGCAAGCCCACTGCTCGACTATGGGTTACAGAATCAGTCTCAAACACAAGAGCAACACATAAACTGTGTGAATTTTAATCCCGACTTCTACTTTCTACGAACTTTACACTACTCACAGCCACAATTAACATAAATTGGCAAGGCGGGAGTAAAACGCTGAACAACGATCAAGCTGACCACCCTCAAGCATACGTCACGGTCTTCCCCAATATCTTCACCAACGACTTGTCAGAGCATTTGACCGGTATTCATCACTGGTTTTTGAGTACTCCCTTCACGTTTGGATTGCGACACGTAATCTCTAGTTCGCTCACGACGTGTTCTGAAGCAAACCCAAACCGTTTCGATTCTCCAGCTGCGTGGAGCAATGGTGGGAGCGAACAAAACGGAAAACATTGTTCAACTAGCTCACAAAACAGTAGTTGTTCTATACACTACTTAAGGACAGGAGGAATGGTAGCTACCCTCTGTCGGTGGGAAGAGAGCCATTCTGAAGAAATTTCTCAACTAGACGCTTGACTAATCCCCACAAACCCTCTATCAGTTCCTGTAACGGCTTGGGATGAATGGCATCCATGGCAAAATCTTTGGTAGGATTTATTCCTCAAAGAAACCCAAGTACCTGAGTCGCCGATAGGGAAATGACAGCCATCAATAGAATTATCTTAGCTAAATCCAAGTGCTGCAACTGGGACTCCTAAACAGATGCTTCAACATACTCTTCCCCAGTAGACGAACGTTAGTGCAATCCGTGTGTTTCAACGCCTTGGGATCTAAGCACTACCGGAATGGGCTGGATGCGCATAACTGCTTGATAAGCGAAAACTCACTATGCCTTTGCTGAGGCTGAGGTCACCTAATTCAATTTTCTAACAGGGTATAGCCGTTTGCAGGTCTTCTGTGCCTCCACTCGACGATGTAAGGTACAATCTAAATAAGCTACTTGAGAGATCCGTAAACCCTCCTTCATTCGACATGCAACTGAATACAACCATGTAGTGTTTCTCTAGTAGCTATTCTCACTGAAACTGCCGTGTGGGACACAGGGACAACACGCTGAGAGGTGGGTCTGAATCAATCTTCTATGATATCTGACCGTACTCGGTTGGTGAGGTGCACCAGACCTAATTGGTGGCTATAAATGCAAGCACATTCGATGCTCCGGACTCTTATAAAAAGCATTTCTGAGAGGCAGGCATATGTGGTCAAAGAAAAATTCCAACTGGTGTGTGTAGAACCAAAAAATGGTTTTCAACTGCTATGGTATTTCGTTTCCTCCTTTTGCCATGGTTCCGATGGCACATTGCTTGTAATCTGATTGTGAATAACTAAACATTTATATATATATATATATATATATATATATATATAATACACCATTTGGAATTTTTGTTTGATTTTTTGTTTTTTATGTTCGATTAGACCTTAACTAACAAATCGTGCGGTTAAACAACACTGTAGTTACTGATGTTTATTGCGTGCCATGATCTCCAGAGCTTTCAACCACTGGGAGTCCGAGTCGCTTGGCCGCCATACTGGAAATCGGACGGGTCATACGTGTTCACTAACCTCCAGAGAACCATTGTAAGCAAGGCATCTTATAGGGCTCGTTGACATTGCGAAGATAGAATGCAGGTGGAAGAAACATTGAACCGGCCTACAAACTGATCCAACGGTACTTGCAGCGCTAGGTCAAGCATATTGGCGACCGAACCGGCAGATGTAGGCATGGACAAGTTGGAGGATATCTAAGATTTCCTAGAACAAGTTTAAGCTGTGCAAAACGAGTGCACATATCGGCAGAAAAGGAATCGGCATTTCCATCTGGTGTGTGAAACGTTTATATTTTCGAAACGCTTAACCAATCAACATAAAACGCAAGTCCACCGTCTTCACGAACGCGAGTGTGGTCAGAGCTCACTACTACGGAGGAAACTCATTGGTGTCTGCTCTAATCGACGCACATTTAAACCATGGATTAGAAACCGTTATCTTCACTTTAACTTAATGGTCCCGTTGCTAGTTGGATCAATGAAAGATAGACAGGATTCAGCCACAACCGAGAATGTACTGACCACTTGTTCTTAACTCATTAATCGCTGGAACTGCAACCGAATTACAGTCGGGTCACCAAATCGGTTCTTGTTGATCTGAAGGTCCGTTTGGCTTTAGCTGAGCGGACAAACCTGCTATGCTGTTCACAAAGTGGCATGGAACCTACCTTCTAACCTGCATTCCGCCTACAGCTTTTCCAAAGGCGAATAATGGTTTATAAGAAGCTATCTCATGAGTTCATCGATCGAGAGGAGACGCATCGAAGTATCGCTATCTCCCTTTTCTTCAACTTTGTGATCGGACTAATTATTATCGATCCAGTCTTCTTCTGGGTGGCCAACTGACAAGCTGAAAACATTTTTTCTTGAGTCGCGCCCAATCTAAGCCATCGTTTCCGTATAGGTTAATTTGTCCAGCTGCATGTGTTCAGTGAACTAAAATTGCGAAGCACCGTTGTCAGACATGGACGGCTCTATTTGCCATCAGCCAGCTAGTTGTAGCGGACAATCGCTACACTTATCTAGGCGGTTGCGTCATCTCACGTGATCGCAACGCTGCGGAAATGTTGGATGTATCTGCAGAGTAGGCTTCATCTTACCAAGTGATAATAATCTATGCATTCGGTAGGATAACAGCCATTTGGTCAAGTGCAGGGTGTACAACACTGAGACAAGCCTGGCATTACTTTATGGACTAGTAACTCACGGATCTACGTGGCGAATGATTGAGACGGCAGCCGTCAACCATGATGTCGCGAATACCACTTCAAGCTCAATTTGTACCTGTTGAGTCCAAATGTGGACAAGACCGGTCACGTATTGCGGTGCTGGGCAGGAGCTACACAAAAAACTCTAGTTCGGATACGGTCCGAGTTCTCGGAATAGTCAAGGTCTACTTCAAAACGCGCCGAGGTGAAATGGAGATTTTGTGCCGCAATCTAAACACACTATTGTTACTCGGCAACTTAACATTGAACATAATGACAAGATCACTCTACGTTGAAGATATTTCAAACTTGACAGCACTTAAGCCCTAGTGCTAACTGCGCACTGGTCACATCTGGTGGGAACACTGTGGAAAGCACCAATTGATGCTCGGAAAGAGACCTTCTAGTACTGCAGTGTGTTGGTATGTGTAAAACGTGAACCGGTTACAACGGTTAGGGCGTGTCCTCCGTTTGCTGTCTACTTCAGTGCGCTTAGTTTGCGTCACCAAGCTGGGATCTCGGTGGGGACAGCCGACGGCGTGGAAGAAAACTGAAGATACCGACTGGGAGACAGTCTGGAAATCCGCTACTCCAGTGATTGCAGAGGAATAGATGACAACTGTATTCGGTTTCTTGCATTTACTCGTTAACTCGTCAGTCAAATAAACTTTGTCTTCTTTTCTCCCCTGAACCCTCTTTCTTATTCTACTTCAACAAAGTTGATTGGTAACATCAAGATGATGGTATCCATGACTTAACTGAGCGAAACTCAACTGAACAGTTGAAGCTCAGCATCGCAATATGCGTCAGGCCTGGGTCAGTAACTGGCATCTCAATGCTGCTGTGTCGAATTTATTCTATGCACGCGAAAGCTTCATAGCTTATTTGAATTGCCTCCTTGTATCAACTACGAATGCCAAAAATGTACCTTGTCCAAACAACTCAGTACCTCCATTTTCCCGACCACACTGAGTGGGATCGCTTTCAACATTATCATGGTACTTGTTTTATCCTGCACCACCCCGGACACTCAAATCTCGTTACGCACCGCACATATGATACATTGCTCAGTTTGCGCTCATTTCACATTCGGAAGATGGCGAATGTGAAGAAACCACTTGGGAGCTGTTCATTGGAGACTACTAAGCAGGTGAGACATCCTTATCTTCAACTTGAATGGATGTACTGAGTGTAGTGTCAGAAATTACCCTGCTTGGTGACAGCGACACGAAAGCGCAAACGGACCCCTATTGGATGGTGAATATTACTCAGTTGGATGCTGCGTACGTAACTGATGAAACAACAAAAACGAAAACGTGTGGAATACTGTGTAAAGCTGACGTGCAAAACCATAAGCCTATCTATGATCCTCGGCCTTGGCAAGTTTTTATTGTCACGTGGCATTGACACTATGGCCGAAATGTTTAGGAACGGTAGTCCGCTTGCATCCGACCGGATAAGCAGCGGTGGGTTACTTCCGCTGCTCTATGATCAAACCACACGGAATCTAAGGGTACTAAGTATACCTATAGTATGCATCATACATGTAAAAGGACCGGCTGCTCAAATAGTGAATAACTTGAAAGTTTTACTCACCTCCCAAGGATGGACATGCCGGTGATTGAACGGAGGCCACGCAGGTGAGCTCATCTCGTTTGCAGCCATGATGGACTCCATGAACTTATCGGGTTGCAGTCTCAGGCGTGCATTAAGTAGGGCAGCCGAACTGACTCAAAAGGACGACAGCAGTTAACGTGACGCTCCTTCTACCCCCGAACGAATCAGCCCTGCTGTAGGGAGGTTGGATACCGCCGCCCACTTTTAGCGCCATCCGATCTTCTGTGTTGGCGCACACACTGTTATACCATCCCCCACCACACTGAGTGCGTCCGTACGTCCGCGAACAGAGTGACCAATTAGCGCAAGAAGCGACATGCACAGACATCAGCTGATTTGATACGGTGACAGGGTGTGTGGTTCGCGCGAGATTCACCTAAATGAGTATCGCTCTGACTAGATTGTTCAGGTCTACCCGCCATCAAAACAATGGAGCAAGTCGCGCCGGCGTGTGGACAGTGTGTAAATTTCCGCGCTGGCACACGACAAAACCGCAAAAACTCAAATTGAGGACACAGGATAACGAAGTCGAAAAGAAATGTCACACCCGAAAAAGCACCCTAGGGCGGCTTGAAGCAGGTAGATAAGAAATGCATTCTGCACGCTGCTGGAAACACTCGTTCGTTCTGAGTCTCGCGTAATAATTTAGATTAACCGACTGGCTCAGTTGGATCAAAGAACAGTGTCATGTTCAGTATTCGCTCAGCTGCAGTGTTCTGCCTTGTAATATTTGGGCACTCAAGTGGACAACTCAGTTCGTTACACATGCACCGAACGTTAATGGGCTTGTAGATTGCGTTGGTATCATAAGCGATGAAACCAAGCGTTTTAATCTCAGTAATACTCCAAGAGGGTCGATTGCGACGCTCAAAGATTGGGCTGAATGATAGCCAAGCCGACTTCCGAAGTTTATGCTCATGGATGTCAGACGCATGATACCACATGATCGTATGTACAGTGTGTTTGGTAGATTCGCTTCTTAATCGCGCGCAGAAAGCTGCGTTGGTTTATATTCTGCGTTTAAGATAAAGCAGCTTTTAAGCTCTCAATGGTGTGCAGTCAGGGAGTCATCTCGTCTCTCACACTGCCACTCGGTCTTGGTAAGCAATTTGTTTGGGCACAGTAACATTGGACAGAATTTCACTTGCTAGGCCAGCCCTGTCAGTTGTACAGTGTATCTCTTGTGTAATTCGGCCTGCCCGTTGGGGCGGTGAAACCTGGATGGTGTGGTAGGATATTTGATGTATTTGCTTTGGCATTTTCTGAGGCAGTGGAACTGAGCACCATCTGGTTGATAAGGTGGGGCTGTCCATCGTTTTGCATCGTTCATTTCCGATCTACAGAAGTGCACAGCTTGTGCATCACTTGGAACACTGGGGTGGAGCAATGAATACGGAACCCGATCTATAACCATCTGAGAATAGGATGGAAGCAATTTGTACAGAGACTCACCCATCTCCGTAAGCTGGTTGCTTGCGCTAGTATAGACCCCACAGCTGCTGGGACTCGGTTCGTCCCTTTCCCTTCAATTGAATGTCGCAAAATTCTGTATCCAGCCATTCAACTCTCCACTCACTCTGTACGTTCGCCTCCATGAGTTTGACAGAAGAGCCATGCGAACTCCGTCATGAGATGAGGTTTAATTGCAACGGATGAGAATATTGTGTTGTTAGTGCCACCAGCTTCTGGTGCTTGTGTAATTTGGGTTCACAGATAATGTTCAAGTTGCCGTACACGACAAGAAACTCCAGGCTTCAGAACTGCAGTCATCCGTGTCCTACAGATCGGATGAGCATGTTCCCCCAGTACATCACATTCAAGTTTCTTGGTGTCATGAAATTAGAGTATACTGAGCGCTCGGTTACGTGTGATGAAGGGGTTCGAAAGAGTAATGACAAGTACATTTCAATATCGGCGTTTGTTTCTCTCAATGAGGCCATCAACGGCTAGATTCTGTAGCATATGGCTAACCATGCGCGGGCTAGTTTAACCTATTCGGACAATCAAATCAAACCAAAGTCGTTTTGCCCAGCCGCGATTGACTAAAGTGCCAGTAGCTGAGCGTACCGGCGTCAACCTAGGGGTTATTACTTGTGGCGAAATTTAAGCGAGATAGGAGGACAAATTAATCCTTCGAAACCAATGCTTTCATTTATCGGCCATAAAAGCATGAAATTTCTGTAAAAGAAGCAGAAAGGTACAGAATATTTCGCCACACATAGTAGTCATACAGTCTGAAAACTATCATCTGTATTACGCGAACATAGTCAAGGTATATCTTAAGACGGTACAATCGTGAGGTCCACACTCAATCCCCTATTTTGTCACCGCATTTGGGAAATTGTGCGGTGAACAGTTACGGTCTACTAACTGCAATTTTGAATGAAGGGCGAATCATCCCTTGGCGCGGCGTGACAACTGGGCTCTGTCAACCTCAGGTGCGTTAAGCAGAGTGAGGAACTTCAACGGCCTATGACAGCCTAGGGGTTCCAATGTGTTTTACATGTTCACCCCAGTTCAGCAAGTCGGTACACCTTTTTGAAGATGTACCCTTTCAGGCACTACGACGATACATCATCTAGATTTCTCAGGCAATGCTGAACTGACACGTTAGTACACCGGGGATTGGGTAACCTCCAGACTCCGTGTAGGTGACCGCTCAAAACTGAGTTCCATATTAAGGAAACACCGTTTGCTCGAGTTTCGTCCGTCTGTCCACATCACATCAAATAGCAAAGGGGATCTGTGCACTTAGAAGAAGAAAGCATTAGCGGTTGGGATTGGGCCCCCGAGCTGCCGGAACAGCTAACTGCACACGCATTGATAGCGCCAGATGAAGTAGACTGCGGCAATGCACATCCAGCGCCCCTTGGTCGCCCAAACGAGGTGGCCACTACTTTGCTTGATTGCATTGTGTTGAGCTTAGTTTGTGATTGCCATGGTAAGCCTGTGCGTCAGGGAACTTATTCAAATACATCTCGAGATAAGCTTGCAACAGATGGAGAATTCACAATTTCGGAGCAATTTGTATGTAAATCAATTCCGTATGGATGTTTATTGTAGCTGATCCCTACGGTGATCTAACTAGAAAAAAGACATGGAAATTTTTAGGGTGTTCCGCGTTCCTTGGTATTCTCATGTAATGTTTCTTTCTGTTTGATGCTAATAACGATGATGAAAGCTGGGCGTCTGCTCTTCAACCTGAGTCCCTTCACCAACACTGTTCAGACGGGCTCTGTTAGCACGGCCCTATGCGAATTTGAGAATTCTATTCAGCATATTTTCTTCATGCAGTCCTGGTGATTTCTACCGCCTTGGTATTAACTTTCGTGTGGTCGCTCGTACCCCTTTTCAAAAGATTGGAACTACGTGTAAGTCGATATCGTCCCCAGTGTCTAGCGCGTATACAGATACCACCGAATTTTGAGGTAGTGCACCGTGTTCAGGTTTGTTTCTCGGTGTAAGGAAAATATAGCTCTTGCGTTTTTTAATCCTTATCCGGGTTTGTCTCGCCTCTGTTTTACTTATGCACACATTTGAGCTCTTTGTAATTGTGTATGTAGATGAAATGAGTCGTGCCATCTCTGGGAAGGATTTTTCGAGTGCACCAGACAGGAATGGAACGTTTGACCCAATTGGAAAACCACCCTCCTTGTGTTTTTCTTTGGCACCCCCTGAACACATCAGACGTTACGTCTCTATAAGAGATTCCTTACTTTCGCAACCTGTTCCGTGACAAACAGAGGATGCTGATTTAATATTTTCCGCAATAAGCGGTTCACTAAAAACCTCCAATGTCCACTGTCATTTAATCGGTTCACTGCTTCCGTCTCTATTACTATCATGTCCTCTATGCACAGGGTTCAAGCTCTGTGGAACAGAGAGGACACAATCTCAGCACAGAAGTGCCTTGAATGACCTGAGCTGTAGCGGAGTACTCGATGCTCTCGACATTTCGTTACCTTTAGACGTCCTCCATTGCTGTGCACCAGACAATCAAGAAATGGCAGTGTGCCACTACAAGATTCCGGTTCCACAGTAATGGTTATAATCTCATTCTTCTTTACGCCTCTTCATAATTTCAAAAATACACTTACATTTCGCCATCAAATCTTTGATGAACTACTGGAGTATTTTCAGTGTCCTCCTACCAAAGTCTTCCGTATACATATTTACAGGTACGGGATATATCGGTAACTCCATGGTATTTTACGCTTCTTGTGTACAGTCTCGATTAGAGCATGAATTAAGCTAGTACGGATTAATTAATCTCTCCCTAGTTTGATCCACCGTGAGTGAATGTTCGGAGATAATTATGGAACCGATTTGAGCCCCTCCGCCAGACGCGACACACGTTCCCTTCAAACCATGTAGCTGAACAAAACCGGAATGACGAAGTTCCCGGGTTTGTAAGAAAGTGCGTTAATGGAGTTACCGGTCTTCAACTGATGTTAGAATGCTACCGGGGAAATCCCCGTATCTAAAAGTGACACTACCGTTGTTCCATTATGGCTTCTATCTCAATATGGGAGGGAAGGGCTCTCTCGACACCATACTTTGTCCCCCCAATTCGCTTTTTCGTCCGAAGGGTCGGTTATCGTCTTCCTTTACAGCCTCAGTAGGCTGGAGCCAACCCTAGTTGTGACGTAATCATGGCAAATGAGGCGAACCGATGATTCACGCGCTTTCCTTTATTACGTAATGCTGGCGATTCCAAGATTTCGCTTCACTTTGGACGGCGGTCGAACAGTGCCACTAATCAAATGCCCTCTCCCCTCTGGCCCACAAATGCCTGTGATCACACACATACACACCTAAGTGGTACTTTGCATCCGACTTGCTCAGCGAGGCCAAGGGCAGATGATTCACTCTAGTCGGGGGGGGGGGGGTGGTCATCAACCTGCAGACGCCCCACCACACCAGTGGCGATGGTGAAGTTGTGTCACACTTGTTAGCCAGTCTGTTTGAAAACATGATCTGTATGGTCACCAACGCGAGCTCACGTCTGCATGCATCTCCGTTAAGGGTGGATGATACTTGTCCCTACTGAGCTAGGCACTTTGTGATATCAAGTGACCTGTAAACGATTTGATCACAGTTCAGCCACCGCATCCGCTGTGTTTTATGGTGAACGGGACTCAATCAAGGGGATATGGTTTCAGCTGTCGCCATGCCGGAACAAAGTGTGAATTATTTGAGTCTATGCGTTGGCAACC